AATATTTGAATCATGCAAGACAAACACCTCAATAAATCCTGCTTAACTTTGCATAATAAATACTTGAAAAGGTGTATCCTCTCAGCTTTGAACACTTGACCTCAACTAAAGCAAAACTTTGCTCTAGAGATTTCTTTGGAGTTTCGACAACAACTAAACATTCAACAATCATCAACAACATTACTTAACCCATAAATCATGTAGTAATCTTCCAACACTAATTCGAAACTAGTCGAGTTCGTCTAATTCTAACTTTTTAGCTTAAATCCACTATTCTTTACTTAACTAGTAGTATAGATATTTAAAGGGTAAAATATCCTTACCTTCCTACGTTTTGATTAAAATTACCCAGAGGTCTATTAGTTTTCAAAATGGACACCTCGATCCAAAAAAATATTTTTTACTGAACACATAGGTTCAACCATTAGTCAATCGTTAGTATTTTTGTCAATTTGCTGACATGATAAAAGTAAAAAGATAATTTTACCCTTCATTAAATTTTAAAATTACTATTATATAATTTTATTATTTATTACTATTTTTTTATTAAATAAAAAAACTCCCCTAATAGGGAGCATTGAAGCTTTCTTGGGGAGCTCGATTAGGGCTTCATTTTTTTTCTTTTTTAATTTTTTTAAAATATAATAATAATTTTTAAATTAATTAAAAAAAAGACATTTTAGTCTTGTCCTAATATCTGTTAACAATGTTTGCATTTTTGGAATGGAGTGTCCATTTCGAAAATTAATGGACCCACTTGAAATTTTAACTAAAAATTTAAGGAGATTGGGTTATTTTACCCATATTTAAATCCTTGTTATCTCCTTACCTTGGTGAGCCACAAGAGAGTAAAACTTCTAGAAATTCTTAAACTTTAGGAAAACACAAAATCTCTTGAAATATCTAAAATTTGTAATAGAAATCAAGGGTTTGAAAGATTAATAGCACGTTTGGTTTGTTGAATAAATAAGAATAGAATAGAATAGCTATTCTATGGAAATAAAATAGAATAATTATTACGTAACTCAGTACAATAAATGAAATAGGATAGGAAAAGTTATTATGACTTATTGCTGTATTTGGTTAATAAAAAAAAATTTTGGAATAAGAAAGGAATAGATGATAAAAGGACAAAAATACCATTTATTGTAATATATGATTATTTACTTTTATTTTATTTTATTTTTTAAATATTAATAATTGATAATTCATTTAAAATATTAATAATTGATAATTTATATATTAATATTTTATTTATAATTTAATCACTATATTTTAAAATATTAATAATTGATAATTTATATATTAATATTTTATTTATAATTTAGTCACTATATTTTAAAATATTAATATTTTATTTATAATTTAAATATTATTATGGTTTTATTTTATATTTAAAATATTAATAATTTATAATTTATTTAAAATATTAATATTTTATAATTTAAATATTAATAATTTATTTATAATTTAATTATTATTTTTTAAAATATTAATATTTTATTTACCATTTAAATATTATTATGATTAATTTTTTTATTTTATTTTTTGAAATATTAATAATTGATCATTTATTTAAAATATTAATAATTGTTAATATTTTATTTATAATTTAATCATTAACATTTTAAAATATGAATATTTTATTTATAATTTAAATATTATTATGACTATTTATTTTTAATTTATTTCATTTTATTTTTAAATATTAATAATTTATCATTTATTTAAAATATTACTAATTGATAATTAAATTATTAAAATTTTATTTTTAATTTAAATTTTATTATGATTTTTTATTTTTATTTTATTTTATTTTTTAAGTATTAATAATTTATAATTTACTTTGAATATTAATAATTGATAATGTAAATATTAATGTTTTAAATATTAATATTTTATTAGAAGCTGGAATCAAGTGAGAGAAGGAGGGGAGAGAAAAAATAATATTTTTATACAATAGAGTTGTAATATTTTAAATTTATAAAGGGTATTTTGATCTTTATTATTTTTAAGTTTATTCCTTGATCATAGAATAGCTACTACCTTGAGAGAGGGTGGTATTAGCTATTATTTAATTGTGGAGGATTTTGGAGAATAGTCATTTTAGAGGAATGATTACTCCTTGAGCTATTTCACAGCCATATAAAGGAAAAAGTTCCTAAGGAATAAAGTGGGAAAACCAAACTTGTAGTAAAAGTTGGAAACTTTACCTTTAGTTGAAAAAACCCAAACCAAGTTTCAAATCTTTGAAAATGGCAATTTTTGGCAAAGCAATATAAAAGAGGGTTGAAAGTCGAGACGAAATGTGAAATTAAGTAGTTGAGGTTTCAAACTGATGAAAATATGCCTTTTAGGGTAATTTTTGAGTGAAAAAATACTAATTTACCCTTTTTTTTTTGTAAAAACGGTAGCAAGTATCGATACATTGGGGACAATATCGATACTTGAGTTTCTAAGATTTTATGTATAGATATTTGTTCACCTAAATCCTTTTGAAAGCTTTATGGATATAAAGTATTGATACTTGTCTATCATGTATTGATACTTTTGTTCCAAAATGTAAATTTTCACTTTGAAAATACATTTTTTTTACCTATGTTTCTTTCCTAAGAATTTGTACACTAAAAAACTTGAAATTAACCTTAAAACATGTTTGAATTTGCTCACCAAGTAGGATCTTACTTAACTAATGTACACCTAGGATAAGGGGTGGTTTTACAATATGAGTCATTAGGTATTTGATAAGAGGTGTAATCGGGTAGGCTACTAGCTATTTTTGAGATACCCAACCTTGAAATCATTTAACTATCAAGGTATCCTAATCCCATTAAAACCTAGATAAAATTACAAAATATTATCCAAAACTGAACTCTATTAATATAATATTGTTTGTTAATTATCCAAATTCAATAAATACACAATTATACAAGGTAAATTTTTTTTATATGGATACTTGTTTAATAACTCAAACCAAAAACTTGAATAAAAAGATAATTTACATTAATTCATATGCAATTTTCTAACCATTAAAATTTAAACCCCCCAAAAAAAATGAAAGTTAGTTGAGATGGCTTAATAAAGTTGTGTTTAAGGTAAAGAGGACGAAGGTTCGAATTTGACTAATTACAAAACTTTGTCACATTATAAATAATATTATAATATTATTTATTATCGACTTCTGCTAGTATGAGTTTAAGTTCAGGGTATCTTAAGGTAATAGTTGAAACCTACCCGAACCTGAGTCGAGTATTAAAAATTTGACATAAACCCGCTTCATAACCGAATATAGAGTACTCGATCCCTATGTTATTATGTCGGATACTTGTGGATACCTATACAATGTATAGCAACCCGTTTACATCTCTATATTTGGTTCCATTATACTTCTTGAAATTGGGTACATTGAATTTTGGTGGGATAGCCCTATCAAGCACCAAACATAATTCCATTAAGTCGATAGAATTATAGATATCCATTCCTTCAATGGATCTACAGCACTCCTTTAAAAGGTTATACCTATGTTGCACTCCCGAATCTTCTCTCGACTTTGACGAGTTTACTTTTTTTTTTTTTTTTTTTTTTTTTTTAGGATCATCCAAATAGAGCACAAGAATTGGGTCATAAAGATTTATACTCGAAATGGGCTTAGCGTGCCCTTAAGTAGGCAATTGGTTCATGGGTAACAATATGGGAATTAGGGCCTCAAGAAGAGTGAAAGCCGACTACCAATTGGAGCCATGGTGGCCTAGCTTGCTCTCTCTTTCTTGTATTTTTCTTTTTACTTATTTTAATTTTTTATATGTTTTAAATACTTTTTATTTTCCATGGACTTGTATTTATTTTGAGCTACAAAGTTCATATGATTGAAATCTTAATATGACTAAGAATTATAGTCATTTGAAAAAATAAGCCTAAACAAAATCAATCTAAACAAACCAAAAATGATATACCCAATCCAAAGTTCAAAACTAAAATCAAATTCATTTTAATTTAATCTACATAAGTATTTTTCCTATAATCTTGAATTGCTCCTGGTAAAATATCGTGTCTATAATTAACTAGGTAATTTACTATATTGGTTAGTTAAAAATTTCGACAAAAAGGATATATTATTGACAATTTTAAAACAAATTATTGGGCATGGATTGATAAACTAATATTGAAACTTCAAAGTTCAAAACTCAGGTTAAAATACCTCAAATTTTGGATCTTATTATTGCTTCATTTGGAATACATGTGAGATTATGTCTTTTGATTTGAAAATTTTCTATTAATTAACAAGATGAAATTCTCTTTATTTATCTCAAACCTAGATCATATCAATATATATAGGTTTCGAAATTGTTTCTAAAAAGTTCATTTCGATCATTAGCTAGGTAATAGTCCACAATCCACCAATTAATAATCCATATATATTCAATTGATTGAAATAAAAGTTCCACTTAGTTCTCATCTTGGTAGTATTTATATTTTGTTATTTGCTTATTACTTTTAGATATTTATTATACAATAAAAGCACAAATTGATGGCTGCTATTTCTTGGATACATTCACTAATAAATATCAACCTTATATTGCACATATACTGTTATCCTTGGAATTCTAGAATTGTTTTTATTAAATTCTTCATTTTTTTTTTGTTTTTGTTCCAAGTGTTTGTAAGTAAAAGGCAATTAAATGACTTAAATCTAGGCTTAATACGTTGCTCTTTAGTCTTTTATATACTATTAAAAGAATTCCTATACTGCAAATAAAAATTTAGATTTTTATAATAAGATAAAATTTGCCAAAGCTATTTTCCAAAATTTCAAAAAAAAATATTGCATAGTTATTTTTTTTTTTTTGGAATTCAGTTTTTCTTTAATAAGTATGCAACTAAAATTTTAGGATCTGGTCCCTATTTTATATCTATCTTATATTAATATATTTTATGTTATATCTTTAAGATAATATATTTAACGAGTATTTAACTTCTTAAAATCCACAAGAAACTACTGATCACTTTCATAAATCATTTATTACCAAACAAACAGAGTACAAGCACTTTGGATTCTCTCTTGTGCACTGAAGAGTCCAGTCTATTTCTTATATTTTACAAATCAAATACAAATTTATTAATTTCGTTACATGACAACCACAGGACCAAAAAAAAAAAAGACTTGATACTCTAGTGAACAAGATTTAAAGACTGAACCTCGCTTGTTATTTTTATTTATTTATGATGTTTATATTGAATGCACCGTGAATATACAAACTCCATACATTAACAAAGAATTGCATGCTGCCACGTTATTAATACAGAAAATAAAAACTTTGCTTAATCATTAGAAATAAGTACTCATATTTTAATTTTAAACAAAAAAGGCATAATGTTCAAAAAAAGTCTTTAAAATATTTAAAAAATTCAAATAAATCTTTATTCTTTTGTTACGTTCAATTAAGTCTTTATAATTTTATATTTGATCAAATAAGTCTTTATAATTAATGGTTGACTAATTACAATTACTCAAAATGTCTATTATCATTTTATGTCTATGCGGCATTGACGTAATGTTGATATGGTGAATGAAAAATACGATATAATCATGTTATCATGTCATATCAACAGTCACATCACATGTTAATCTATGATGTTAATGTCACATCAATGCCACATATAGCATATAATGACAAGTGACATTTTAAATAAGTCAACAATTAATCATAAGAGCTTATTTAACTCAAAATAAAAATATAAATTCAAAATAACAGTATAAAGACTTGATTAAACATAATAAAAATATAAAAACTTGTTTGAAAATTTTTAAATAGTTTAGAGATTTTTTTAGATATTATACCTTAAAAAAGCTACATGTTTATCCTCTTTTCAATGAACAAATTAGGATTGGAGAAGTAGCATCTTTGAAATCAAATTCATTTGGAAAGATCTGAAGTTTGAATCTAGTTTTAACTAGAATATTTTCAGAAAATGCTATTTGCCCTACTTGACATGATGTACAATTGGATGTTCATCCAACTCTCACATTTTAGTGAAGAATTTGGGAGCCAATGCAAAAAGTGATGAGCCAAGTAACATTGCTCCAAAATATGTTTTGTAATTGTTGAACCTGCTGGGTTGTTGTGGCTCTTTTTAACTCAAAAAACCAGCGTTTCAAAACCAAAGAGTTGGGGGGCAAAAAAATGGGGGATAAACACACTGATTATTGGCCTAGAAAGGGCAAAAAGGGGGCTGTTATGGACCCTTTTTAACTCAAAGAAAACCAGAGAGCTGGGCCTGAAACAGGGGAAATGCTCTCTGTTATCCTCCAAAGCCACAAGAATTCTTAGTCAGCAAAGCCATAAAATACAACTTTGGACAGGATTTTCATCCTTCTAAAATTTTCTTCTCCAAGTGATTTGTGCAGAAGAGGTTAAACAAAAGATTAATACATACTTAGTAACTTTTTTTAATTGATTAAACACTTGAATATGTTCACTTACTTTTAAAGACTTTGCTAAATTTTTCACGGCATTAATGGTATGGCAACATGTAATTCCTTATTACATGTATAGAGCACATTCTCCATGCATCAAATATAAACTCTTTTTTTTTTTTTTTAATTTAGGGAAGGGGGATTCGAAGACACGAGATTATGCATCAACTAATAAACTAAATGTTCTAATGGGAACCCTTATTTTATTGTTACTTGCCTGGCAAATTTTCCATCGAACCTTCCATCTTCTGATTTTGCATTGCTACGAGTTCACTGCAATAAGAGCAAAGAGTGAGAAAAAAAAAAAGAAAAGAAAAGAAAATGAACTGCTAGTAACCAAAAGGTTCAAAATCAACAAGAACAATTTGGGTTTCTTTTCTAAAATCTTTTCGAGAAAATATGTTAGCAAACAGCAATTAAGTTAAAGAATAATATTTATCATGATGAACTGATAATACTAATCATCATTTGAAGGTAAGGAAGAAATGGGAAAAAGAAATGATAGACCAACCGCAATGCCTGAGTGAGCTGTGCTGCTGTGTTGAAGTCTTGGTCTTCCCTTGCCCTGAGGATACGAAACATGAGGGCAAGGCGGAGTTGGGTGTTGGCACTTTGTTGTATGATCAGGTTAGTCTCATTTCGAAGCTGATCGCATTCCAGTTCGATAGCCTCAAATTTTCGTTTGACCAGCCTTTGGCCCTCTTTGATCTCTCTTTGTTCTTCGCTGATCTTTTCCATCTCTGCTCGTAACTGTCTCATTCGGGCATTCAGTTTCTCCGCTCTTCTCCTCTTTCAACGCAAAAAATAGAATAGCATGTAAGATTCAAAAGCAACACTTAATGAAACTTTTGAGAGAAAGGAGAACATCAAGAAAAGAAAACAGTAATATTCGTTTGAAATACCTGATTTTTCCTCTGTAACGATCCATGACTCACATTTAGAATTGCCAGAGGAGACTTTCTCTTGCTCAATACCATGGCATTCATTGTTTTTTTTTCTCTTTCTTTTTTCAGTGTTGGTTTAGCTAGCACACTCGGAAACTCAAATGTAAATCATCAGGCATAGGTGCATATACATATATAGAGAGACAGACTCGATCTAGGAGTACTAGTTCTTTTTTTAAGAAGACTTTATTTAATTCCTCCTCCTTGTTAAAATAATATTTTAATTATGTTTAAAAATTTCTGCTTAGAAAATCTGTCTACTGGACCAATTTGAACCGAAAAAAAAGTTGATTTTTTAAATTTTGCGTGCCAGTTGCCAAGATCGAAAGAGATCGTAAGGTTTTCGGCGGACATCGCCAGATTTGTAGTTGTTAGTAGGAAATCAACTATCAGAAACGCTCGATGATTGATCCGTTAAAGGGTTTTGAATAGGTGGCTTCATAGCAAATCTGAGGGAGACTTCTTAACATTCTCAGTCAATTTTAATCAAGAATTCATTATTTTATTATTCTTTTTAACACTTTCCCATTAAACAATGACTGGGTTTTTTAAAAAAATATATATATATTTCAAAAATTCAATAATTTATCAAGTACACTCTTCAAATTTTAATTTTTAAAGTTAAACACGTTTTTAAATTGACCTATTCAAGTATATGTGGATGGCCTCTTGAATATGTCAAAGTCTTCCATTCAATAAAATTAAATTGACGAAACATAACTGTTTCTTGTGGTACGTAAGTCAATTCCATAGCTTTTAATTTAATTCCAAGTGTAGGTATGTTGACTGACTTAAACGAGGCATTCCAATGGTTATATTTTCTAACGTGGTAAAGTTCGTATACTAAGTGATTTTAATATGAAACTGAGTGCTATAAGCCAAAAACTTTCTGCGCAATTTCCGCTGGTTTTGGTTTACTTTTCTTAGCAAATCCATGCAAATTCACTAAATGGGACAAATAGTCCTCAGGAAGACATCTAGTTTTTTGAATTCAATGTTAATTTTAAAATTATTATAGTTTTAATTATGACAAAATGATTAAATTTGTTTGAATATTATTGGAGTAATTCTTGACAATTTCTTGAATGATTTAACTCCTATACATTTGTTTTTATATAGTTACAAATTTAACTCTTAAAGTTATTGAATTATATCTTTAAGCTTGTATAACTTAGGTGTATGAGTACTTAAGATTTCTATTCATTAAAGTCTAATTTAAAGATGAAAAGAAAATCTAGATGCAGGAGAATTTTGAATATCTCTTTTAATGATGACAAAAAAGGAGAGAATGAAAACTAAGTTAAATGGAGTTTGATATGTCTTCATATTTAATTTATGTATGTGATGCTTAGTTTTGGTTTTGTTGAATATTATGTAAAGAAAACTGGATGCATTCACTAAAAGGGAGCAACTCATTATGTATAAAGATTTGAAGCATTCATATTAAACATAGACATTACACTCTTAATCTAAGAGTGTTTTGTTATCATAAAAAATAAGAGATATAGAATGTTGACTCTATATGATTTTGATGATAGCAAAATATTTTCATTTATTGGTGTGTAATTATATTGTTTAAGTGTGCAGGAAAAAGCTTAAATTCATTAATATATTTGGCATTTAAAAGCAAGTCAAGATGCTTGCTTAGTTGCTAGATAGATTAATTGGTTAAACAGGCAAAGAAGAAAGGGCTTTAATGAAGATAGATTAGTCTTAATTGATTAATACAAATCCTTAATCGATTAAAACAATTTTAGGTGCTACACTAAAGACAAACAAAAATGTCTTAACTAGTTAGCACAAAATTTAATCAGTTAAGCGGATGCTGTATACAAATAGAAGCCTTTTAGTTGGTTAATCAAGGGAGTTAGTTAGTTAAAATCCAAAAGTGGAGATCCAAAATAAAGTCAGTCAAATTTGTGAAGAATAATTTAAGAAGTCTCAAATGACTAACATATTTCATGGCTATTTAAGGGAAATGGAAGATCAGTGTTACCAAGCTAAGAGAAGAATTAATCAACCAAAGAAAAGTTGGTGAAGTTGGTTGCTCTAGAAATAGTAAGCTTTTAATCGGTCAAAGTCTTTCTCAACCAATTAACAGAGTAAAACATATTGCAAGACTGAGAATACTTAATCGACTAAGAAATATAGTTACTTAGCTAAAAACTCATCATCAAAGAATTTAATTGCGAGACAAAGAAGACTTAATCGACTAAGAAGTATGATTAGTCAACTAAAAGCTTATTGTCAGAAAATTTGAATTTAAGTACAAAAGGACAAAATAACAGCCAGAAACGGCTAACTTTTGTCTCCAATAGCTAGAAATGATTTAGCAAGTATTTAAAGCCTTTTCAATAGTAAAAATCAGATAGAGAAGTTATCCAAAGTGATTTTGAGCTTACAAGATGATAAGCCTTTTCTTTACACTTGTATTTGACTCTCATCCTTTGAAAAAGAGTTTAAGCTTAACTTTGTACATCTTAGATCAGCTAGGTGATCAATTGGACTTCATCTTTTCTCTATTTCTCATTTACTCAGAGTGTGCGAGGCGCTCTAAAGGGTATATCAAGCTTGGGTTAGCTTGGTTGTTGTTGTAGGTTCTGACTTAACCTTATAAAAGTTAGTTTTGAGTTTTGCTTAATCTCATGAAAAACTATTGTTAAAGGTTGTGGTAGAGCCTATAAAAAGCCATTCTGAAGCTTGGTGAAAGCTTGAGAATTCCACAGGTTTTAGTGAATTGGTTTGAAAATTCGTGGTTTAGAGATCAAGGTAGTGGATATAGGTCAAGGAGACCAAACTATTATAAATCATTGTATTTTGTCTACTTTCTTTTATTTTCTATTTACTTTTAGCACTTAAATCATTCCTCTAACAAGTTTTAAACTTTCAGTTTCAATTTCCTTATTTAGCTCTTTACTTGAAAAGAATTTTCATATCATTCTAAAAGTGCTATTCACCCCCTCTAACATGCTCTTGAGGACCAACATTCAATACTTTTAACTTAAAACGGTCTTTGTTAGCACAATATAAGATTGCAATGCAATTACATTACAATCAATGAATGCAATGTGATTGCATTAAAAAATCAATACAATCTTATATTATAACTTACTTTGCTATGTTATCAAATTTATTTGACGTTTTTATCTTTTTCCAATAATTAAAATTCTAAAACTTAATTTTTATCACTTTAAAAAATTTTAAAAATTAATTTTTTTAAAAATTTTGAAAGAAAATCATAAATTTTGAAAAAAATAAAATAATTTTTTAATTCTAAAAAACTCTAAATTTTTTTTAAAAAAATAAAAAAATTATTAAAAAAATCTAGAATGATAAAAAATAAAAATAATTTTTATTTTTAAGAAATTATAAAATATTAGAAAATCCATAAAATAAAAAATATATTTAGAATATTGAAAAAATAGAAGATTTTTTTTCTATGCTCATAATTTTTTAAAATTAAAAACATTATTCCATCTATGTAATTTTCAGTAAACTTTTAAAAATAAAAAATTTCTTTTTTACATTCAACTTTTAAATGTTTTAGGAATATTTCAAAATAATAATACCACCAATACTTTTTTAAATTTTCAAAATTGCTAACAAATAAAAAATTATTTTTTGATTAATATTAACATCGATTTGCTCGATACTTAGTTATTTGCTGAAAAATTTATTTAAGAGATGATATCATATAACATTTTACAATAAAAAAACAAACAAGTATATTAAACTTCTATTTTAATGTATAGAGGTAATTTTGAAAATTAACATTACATTTTCAAAAAAGTAATTGTAAATTAAACGTTGGTATGTTACCTTCCTAACATTTGAATCGTACTTTCCTTACAATGCTGCAATGTTATATGATCAACAATCACATTCTTTACAATTACATTTCTTGTAATCTAATTACATTGTAAAGCACCAAACGCAATCTTAGTTTAGAAAGAAAAGTTGCAAGACAGGTTTTTGTGAAGAATTTCTCATTAATAGAGTTGTAGTTACAAAGCCAACTTATACATCTAGATGTAAAATAGTCCTAACCAAATTTAACAAGAAGGGCAAAACTATCCATTAAATATTTACAATAGCTTTAGTTACTATTGTATAGTAATTGTAGCAATGTAAATTGTTGTAAAGCAGTAGTTGCAATAGTAGAACACTAATTATAGTAACAGGACACTAACTAACATAACTAAGTAGCTAATTAATTACTATAAATTTAAAATTACTCTTAATACTCCCCTCAATATGAGTGTAGAAATTAAGAATACTCATCTTGCTCAGTAATTTGTGGAAAAAAAAATTGTGGTTATAAAGCTTTGGTGAATAAATTTGTCAATTGTGAAGTTCTAGGAAATTAAGAGATAATTCGTTCAAGTACTTTTGTCTTGAATGAAATGACCATCTAGTTCAATATGCTTGATCTTTTCATGAAAAATTGAATTTATTCAAATGTGGAGAGCTGATTGGTTATCACAAAACTATTGGAAAAATAACAAAACACAAAAGCTATTCAAGAAAGTCTAAGGCATAAAACACTGTCTTTAAGGATAATTTTCGCCTCTTCAGAGTGCAAAAAGAATGTGGTAGTTATCTCTCAAGATTCAATAGATTCTTCCTTATTAGTTTACATAAGCTATCAAGGATACAAAAACAATAAAAAAATTAAAAATAAGAAAGAACCCAGCAGGAAATGAGGGAAGTAAGGAAAAGGAAAGACAAGAAAGTTGAGAAGAAATGATGTGAGAACTTAGGTGAATGCTAATATTTATAGGTTGAGGATAAAGGATAATTAAGAGTAAAGTTGTAGAAAATCAAGAGAAAATTATAACATTATACAACATTCTGGAAGATCGAGTCAAGACTGAGTCTGATTGACTGATTCAATCAAAGACTAACTCTTTACCATTATAAACACTGAGTCTGATAGACTAATAATTCACATCTTCTCAAGGCTTGGCTCAATCTCATGTATGCACAAGCTCACTTTTTTTTCTTCCTTATAACAAGCTCATAATGTGTTTGCTTATATAAAGCTTTAACATCTATTGTACCTAAGCAATGTGGGATATTGAAACATTATGAAATAACACTATATGTTTAACAATCCCCCACATATTTCATAAGGTTTCATGATAGGAAGTTTTTGCTAGATTTAATTCACTGGAGTGTAATGTATTAATATTGATGATTTTTAAGCTATGAACCAGGCCCAGAAAGTGAAATATAAATAATAGAATTTTGGTGAAGTTTATAGCTTATATGAACAAAAAATTCTTTATGTGAAATATGATTTTCATCAATCACATTACACTCCCATAATTTTTGCTATTCAAGGCGGTTTTGCACGAATAAACCATGTGCGTGTCTGGTTATTCATAAGTGCTCTAGAGAATTTGTCACAATTCTTATAGAGACGGTCTCACTCCACACTTATATAGGTGATTTCATCATGTGTATACTACAATTTAATACACCACCCATAAGGAATATGGAATTCTTTAAGAGTTTAACTCAACTTCTCTAGTAGTGCAGTCTTGATTATTCACACACCATAAGAAGATAATAATTTGAACAGTGCATCAATTTATTAACAAATAATTTGTTATTACCCATATGAACCTAAGTCATGGGATTATCACTCATATACGTTGGGTTGCCATTGTTGTTGATTTTTCTCAATTGGCTCAAGTCTCGTGCCATTAATGTATCATTAATTAATTTTTTTTCTTAAGGGTTTAGTCTGTCAATCGGTCAAATTCAACTTCGACTTCACATAATTATTGGATATAATTCCATCTCTAAGTAATTGTTTTACAACATCATGTTTTAAGCGAATGTGTTTATTCTTATCATTACGAGTTTTATTCTTTGCAATAGTTATTGCCATTTGGTAATCACAATGCATAGACACAAAAAGTGTTGGTTTTATTCCTAACAGAATATCTACTAAGAGGTTTTTTAACCACTCAGCCTCTTTGCCAACTAACTCTAAAGCTACAAATTCTGATTCCATTATAGATTTAACAATTATTGTTTGTTTGGTTGATTTCTAAGTTACTAATTACCCCACTAAGAGTGAATACAAATCACTTATGGATTTTGTCTCATCCGAATCTGAGATCTAGTTAGCATTACTGTATCCTTCTAATACAACGAGAAATCCATTATATAAAATATCATACTTTATGGTACCTCTCAAATCTTTCATTACTCAACTTAAGGCAATTCAAAGATCTTAATTGAGACTTTGTGTAGATATGCTTAGTCTCCACATAATATAAGCTATATCAGGTCAAGCATAATTCATCAAACACATCAAACTCCTAATAATTTGAGTATACTTAGACTGAGCCAAACTATATAGAACCTTTATCTTTAATTGAGTATAAGCATCATAAAGAGTACTCATAGATATGACATTAAAATTTCAAACTTTTTCAGTAGCATTTCAACATAATGCTCTTGTGTTAGCATTAAACTACTATCACATCTTATGATTTTAACACTCAAAATAGCATTGGCTTCTCTCAAATATTTCATATCAAAACCAAATCTGTTTTGGTGTTAAAAGTACGCTTTTTAAATCATACCATAACTTTAAGATCAGTATTGCTAACTTTAATTCAAACCATGCCAACAGGGTAATGGATCTTAAAGAACTTAAAATTGACACAAGATGTAATTAAAATCAATATTTATTTTGAAAACATGTATACTAACAACAATTGACCAATCATAAACATAAATATTTAAATCCACAATCTACATTCATTAAACACAATTTATGTACAACATCATGATTTACTCACAACATTATGCCTAATGGCGTAGCAATAATTCCAAACTCATATATCTAATACATTTATGTAACGTTCACCACTTCTATTGTCATAGTCACGCCAAACATAATATGTGAACAGCAGTATAGTCCCCTCCATCTAGGATGTATCTCAGACATAAGTATAAAGTTGCCAACAAAGTGGGCGACCAATAAAAGAGGCCAACGAGCAATGAGAATCGAAACCTGAACCCAAACAAACTTACACAACTAGAACAGCCCCAACAACAAAATGCCGAAATAACTTTGCTAGCCGCAGCCAGCCCGCTTGCCGTCACCACACTTCCCTGTTTCTTCGCCTCACCGTTTTCCCTCAGCCGCCGGCGTCGTTTTTCCATCACCGTTTTCCTCAGCCTCCTCCCCTTCCTCTTTCCCTTCCCCTAATTACTTCCTCTCACAAATCAGCCGCATCAAAGACACGGGAACGATGAGGGGATGGTGGAGACTAGGAAAATGGACGGTCCTGATTATGTTTCTTCACATCATAGCCATTTTAATATTCACCAAAGGCTTTCTCTTAACCCGAACTGAGCTTGCCCATTCCAGCCGGTGCTCCGACCTTTCTCAATCTCCCTGCCTTTCTTCTTCTTCCTCTTGTTGGACCAAGCCGGCTGTTGATCGTCTCATCATCGTTGTCCTCGATGCGCTGCGTTTTGATTTCGTTGCTCCAAGTTCTTTTTTTGAGAAAAAACAACCTTGGATGGATAGATTGAAAGTGTTACAAAGGGTGGCTTTAAAGAACCCTTCCTCTGCTAAGATTTTTAAAGCTATCGCTGACCCACCAACTACCAGTTTGCAACGTTTGAAGGTTCTTTTTTTCTCTTTTCTCAAGTTCTAATTTTTTCCCTTCTAATGGCCAGTAATTATTTTTCTCTTTATTGATGTTTTCAGGGATTGACAACAGGGGCACTCCCTACTTTTATTGATGTTGGGAATAGCTTTGGTGCCCCTGCCATTGTTGAAGACAATTTCATTAATCAGGTTTGCCTTTTTCAACTCTTCTTTATTTTCTTTTTCTACCCATTTGTTTGATCGTTGTTCTTTTTGCATATGAAATTAAAAACGAAATGTGGGTTTTTTGATTAGAAACTTAAACACTAATATCTTTTTATAATTAAAAGTTAAAAATGTATTTTTTTTTTAAATGTATGATTTTACTTTTGCATAGAACAGTTATGTTGGAACTAGTGTTGCATTATATATATATATATATCATTTTAATTAATTGATTATGATTTTACTTTCTACCCTTTGTCTTTGCCTATTAGGAACTGAAAAATAAGTAGCAAAAGTCATTACCAAATGAAATGATAAATATTTAATCGTTTTGTCTTTCTATTATTGGTGTTTTTGTTTTATCTGTATTCAGTTGATTCAAAATGGAAAGAGAGTGATGATGATGGGAGACGACACATGGATGCAGTTGTTTCCGAATCATTTCAACAAATCTTATCCATACCCTTCTTTTAATGTTAAGGATCTTGATACGGTATGCCATGTTTTTAACTGATCAATTCCTTGCCACACACTATTTGTATTTCAATGGCTGTGATATATGATTCCAATTTTCTTTCATTCAGGTAGATAATGGATGCATTGAGCACCTAGTTCCATCACTATATGAACAAGACTGGGATGTCCTTATTGCACATTTTCTTGGCGTGGTATAATTAAAATGCTTTATTTGAATTGAGAAATATAGATAAATGATTGGTTAGGTAATTATTCAGGGTATTTACTCTTGAAGCCTGAAGCTGAATATGGATCTCTATGGGATTTGTTATCAGATAGTTGTATTCTGGCATTCTTTTTCTAATTCTGTGGGGAGCGCTATTTTCCTCTACCCTATGCTTGTTCACGCTATGTGTCATGTTATTCTTACTGAAACCCAAGTAGATGTTAAAATTGGAAAATACCAGAAAAAGCTATCTGAACTAAGTCCCTTTGACTTTTTTAATGTAAACATTGCCAATTAACATGTTCTCATTATTTGCTTCAACTTTTAGTATAAATCTCCTGATTGAAAGCTGCAGTAGATGCTTCTCTTGTTTCTAAAATTACATGAGGTTTCCTAGATTTTGTATTGTAGTATAAGTGGTTATGTTGCAAATTTGGATTTAATGAACTGCTATGTGGTTAGGATCATGCAGGGCACATCTATGGTGTTGATTCTGTTCCAATGATTGAAAAGTTGGAGCAGTACAATATAATTTTAGAGGTAATTTCTTGAAGTATACAATTGTATGTTGCATTCCAATGGTTTCCTCTTGTTTGAATCCTGCTTCCATGTGTTCTCCATCCTTGTTCTTTTCTATGATGACTTTTGACATTCCTTACCTATAAATTTGCACCTTTTTTTTTTAATAAAAGAATAAAGGTACCTGACCCAAAGCTACCTGTTGTGCAAAATTTTCATTTGGGAACTTATTTTTGCTATTTGTGCCATGCTTGTTTTATGTTTCAAGAGGCTTGACATGGGCAAGAAGTTTTTGTTACATTTACTTGCATTTTTATCATTCTCTTGTCTCCTAAGAGTCCATTTATGTTTAATCTTTTATGCCTCTGCCTGACTGATTGTTTGCTGCAGAAAGTAATTGAAGTGCTCCAGAACCAGTCTGGACCTGGCGAGTTACATGAAAATACTTTACTTCTTGTAATGGGTGACCATGGGCAAACCTTAAATGGGGATCATGGAGGAGGAAGTGCTGAGGAGGTCTGACACTTCTCTAGATCTACTTGGTAGAAATTTAATTTTATTATTTGTTTTTTCAGTCTTTTAATCGAACCATATCATGCAGGTTGAAACGTCAATATTTGCTATGAGTTTTAGAGATTTGCCTCCTATGCCATCTGACTTTGATTCTTCATCTTGTGAGGTACATTTGGTATTTCCTCTCTCTTTCAGCATATGCATATATGTTGATGGACTAGAGATCTTTTTTCGTAGGCTGCATTTGTGTGCCTTGTTGGTGCAAAAGGGAAAGGTGAAAATGACGTAAGACATTAATATCCGAAGAAGCCTTAGTTGTAAATTTTTATTAGGTGCCTTGATTATAACTTTTTACTAGGGAAATCCCCAGCATTTTGTTCTGAGAGGTGATAATTTATTTTTTAAGTTTCAAAAGTATGAATCAATAAAGTTTTGTATTGGACGATTTTCTAAAAAGTAATTTTTCTGAATTATAAGCATTTGTTATAATAATATCTAATAAAGCAATTAAGATTTAAGAAAAAGATAAATAAATTGAAAAAAATACAATAATACAATTTTCATATGTTTTTATTTTAAATTTGCTTCTCCCTTATCTTTCTCTTTCTTTCACCAAGAGACTTCAAATCTTTTTCACTCTATTTTAACAATATTCATTGATAGAACATATAAAAAGACATAATACTATTTTGGTTAGAAAATATTAAAAATAAAAGAAAAATGGAGTTAAAAAAAATAAAAAGACACAAACTATTTTTATTTATACAAAAGCTCAAAACCGTTTGAGCTCAACAAACCACCCCATCAGCCCACCATTAACCAACCATGCAAGGTCCAGATATCAAGTAATTAACTCTTAAATTGCACGTCAATCAATTAAGCAACCAACTCTGCAAAGTATTGACCATGAAAAGCAATTGGCCCATAGAACCAACTTGGGACTAACTTTAATTGTAGGTTCCGATTAGGGTTGTGTATTCCACATCATTTTTTAAGGAAAAAACTTAGTGAGACCATATCAATGTTTTAAAGTTTTAAACCATTTATGTAGCATTCTCAAGAGCCAGAACTAATTTTCCTTTTCCTTCCTCATTTTTTTTCCTTAAATTTCAGGCAGCTAGGAATATATGCATCAGCTCCATCCAACAGGTTGGAATGGTCTTTTATTACAATTTGTAGTTTCTGATCACTTGTCTTTGATTCTTTTCTTCTCTTAAAAGAAATATTAAGTCATGTCACTCCTTGCAGCTTGATTTTGCAGTAACAGTGTCATCGCTGCTTGGTGTCCCCTTTCCATTTGGAAGGTGCCGTGTAAGCATTCTGTCAATCTTCTTCAATATGGTTACATGTTTTACCTTGTTTTTGTTAACCATTTTATTTCTTGGACTTCTTTTAAAGTCGTTTTATGTCTACTAAATATATGAGGCTTGTTGGTTCTATTGGAGTAATAGTATTTAAATTACCCTTTGGATTGACCTTGTATAAATGTCCCCATAAAGGTAAGTTATTTTTCTTTCTGCTGTTTTCCTCTGCCATAATGTCTTTATTGGCACCTCAGCATGTGAGCAGAAAATGCACCCTTATTTCAATTGACTAAGCAGCTAAATAATTGTCTAATTTTCATACAGCAAATTTCAGGAAAAAGCTGAAAATCATCTCATCATAAATATTAGGGCAAAAAACTTTCTGTATCACTTTTTCTTAAGTAGTTACCCTTAGGACTCAGTCTTCTTTTTCCTTCACAGCATGGGGCTTTTATCATTGCACAAGACACTGGCTTCAACTGGAATGAAAGGCCTCTAGTACAACAAACTTCTGTCACATGAAGCTCCCTTCTAACCACACTTTTTTGTTTTTTCCCCCTCTTCCCCTTAAAAGATAGATTGTGGAAACTGATTGTTTTTGATAATGGCTTCATGTGGCTTAGATTTTATGATCTTTGGGAGCTGTGAAGTCCATGTATACTTTAATGCATGTTGATTTATGGTTTATATCCTATTGATGACAATGTTCTTTGCACTTTTCATAGTTCCAACTAATTTTCCATTGAAAGAAATTTGCTATCGATATACTTCCCTACTCTATTTGCAGCATTGGACGTGTTAATCCTGAGTTATACGCTTTAGCTGTGGGTACGTGGAACTTGGAGAAGTATAAAACAGGGAATGGTCAAGATAAAAAAACGTTGGAAGAATGGATGCAAAATTATATTAATGTCCTCTGCGTCAATTCATGGCAGGTAATTTTTGTTCCTTCAGTCTTTTGTCCTTGGCTTAGAGGCATTAACCACAATGTGAACTTCGTACACTATCTTTTTCTTTAAAAAAAAGAAAGAAAAAAATAGAAAATTAGTTTATCAACTATGCACTGCACTATTAGATAACATTAGCAACTGGTAATAAAGGGATTATGACAAGACATATCTGCAAGTACAGAATGATATATTATTTTTTAGAAGCACCCTTCTCGCTCACCCACCATTTGTTTCCACCCTCATATAGATTCTTCTTATGTAGGTGAAAAGATATATTGACGTCTATTCAGCTTTATCAGTTATTGGATTTTCCTCTGAAGACCTATTCCACATATCAGATTTATATGCTAAAGCAGAGGAGAATTGGTCATATACTAAGAATTTATTGTTGTACAAAAATGAAAGTTTCGACACATCATTGCCAGATCTTAAAAGGCAAATTGATGGCTATTTTAATTTTCTCTCTTATGTTGCTGAGCTAGCTCGCTCCAAGTGGACTGATTTCAATTTAAAGATGATGGGCACTGGTATTGGGATTATGCTATTATCTCTATATGTTCATTTCCTTGCCATTAAGAAGGTGAATAAGTCATATGGTGTCTCTCTTCCTTCATCCAGAGATTCTGGAATTTCCTTTGGGTTAATATTTGCTTCCTTTATAGTGGTGATACGTGCATGCAGCCTACTTTCAAATAGCTTTATTTGTAAGTTCCTGAATCTGATATTTCATTATCATATGCAAGCACTTTTAATCATTGTTGCTGACAATACCACTATTCTTTTTCTTCCTTACTTGAGATCAGTGGGAGAAGGGAAAGTTGCTAATTTCCTTATGGCCACAACTGGCATCATGTCATTACGTTCTTCTTTCATGAAGAAGAAGATGCTACTTGAAGTGAGTATTGCTCTCCTTAAAGGTTAAATAAGTTTAAGATCATAATATCTTTTACATTTAACTCACCCCTCTTCCTTGGGGCATAAATCTGTATAAAATGAATATAATAATTTTTTTTTTTATTTTGCTAATTTGATTTGAATGTTTGCCCAGGCAACTATATTTCTTCTTTTGACATTCATTCTTAGAATTGCTATTGAAGTTGGGCTATCTAAGCAAGCTGCCACTTCTCAGTTCATGAGTGTATCCTCTTCATGGATGCGTGGGATTTCTATAAGCCAACCAGTGTGGACATATATGGCTGAAATCGTGCCAATTCTTGCATTAATGATATTAGGATACTTTCTTTATAAGGCCATTTCTAGCTGCTGTTGGGGAATTCCGAAGTATGTTATCATGGGAACAATTTTAAGCTATTTGCTCATAGCTTTGCATTGGGCAACTGAAAGCAACATATTGGATCTGGCCCATTTGCTTAAAGGAATTGGAAAAAGTTGCATCCCTCGGACAATTTATGCTATTGGACTTGGTCAGCTGTCATTGTTGGCATTTGGTCAGCTGTTCAGCAAGGAGGACACTTCAAATTACAAAGGAAGCTTGTTTGTTAAAATGATATCTATTTTATCTGCATGCAGTTCAACAATTATTCTTCTTCTGGGAAAACAAGGTGCCTTGGTTGCATTAGGATCCATGGTAGCAGGTGCTTTTTGCTTACTGCTTACTTGTTCATACATTTGGTTTTGCTTTCCTCTTACTTGCCAGGCTATAGAGTTCAATTTCACTAAATAAAATTTTTTGGATTGTTGGTTTTCATGACATTTGTACCTATGCATGCTTCTAAATATTTTTTTGCTCAGTGCATGCATGCTTCTAAATGATGCCTTACATGTTAGCATTTCTGTTTACAGGTTATTGCATAATGAGACTTGAAGGTATAGAACGGCACACCTTTAATGGGGCTGTAGGAATTTCAAGTTTGGATCCTCTTCCTGTTGTCCAGTGGAGTCTGTTAGCTGTGTGTCTGTTTTTTGCAACTGGTCACTGGTAAGATGCATGTAATTCTTTGTACTGAGGCATGCATATGTGCTGGTTTTAATCAGTGTCAGACAACACGTTTGGCATTGATGTTCTTGGGTATATTAATTAACTGATTCTTTCCTTATGCTAGAGGTAGATCCTTCTACTTGTGCTCCTTTGTTTTGTTATTTTATTGTTACTGTGTGTGTAATGTGTATGTGTATCCATTTAAAGAACTTTACTAATAGATGTATTAAGTGTTCCTGAATCTGAATTCAGGTGTGCTTTTGATGGCCTGCGATATGGTGCTGCGTTTATTGGGTGAGTCTTTGGTATTTGTATGACTTTCTTGCATCTTCCATCCCAGAACTGACTTGCCAAAAAATGAAATCTTTAAAGAATAAGCAATTTGGCTTTGATGCTGACTTTTATCTTTCTTGAGCACAAAATTCATAAATGGCTGGTTTTCTTTCTAATTATGCAACAATTTTAGCATAACCATTGCTGTTTGACCCAGGAGATGTATATATTGACCCTTGTTTGATTTTCAGGTTTGATGAGTTCATTCTTGTGCGACAAGCAATCCTTCTGACAATTGATACATTTGGATTTTCTCACATCCTTTCTGTATTTGGGCTGCCTCTTTTTGTTGCATGGCCATCTTTCTTCAATCAGACTGAGCACAGGAGGAGCCTCTTTTCTATAAAGTTATTCCAGGTAAGTTTTCCATTTGGATGTCTATATTCCTAAGATGCATTTGGTATATAAGATCATAGATAGGATGTGATGAGATAGAGTGATGAGTGAAGTGTCTTTATTTTATCTTGTTTTGATGTATGCACAGCGGAAGTGTTCTCATATTTTATCTTTACAAAATTATTCAATCTTACTCCTTTCCACAGAATTGGGCATTTTTCTCTATATTTGATTGCTAATCCAATTAATTTTTTCACCTAAAATGCTAGAGACAATGACAAATTTTGTATTAATAGAAGTTATCCTATCTAATCCTATCCCATGCACTGAATAACTCTAATGTTTTAATCTGTTATAATGATTGTTCATCTTCGTTATAGATATTTATGATGTATGGACTCATTACGGCTACTACTGTCACTGCTACTATACTGTGTGTCGCCATCCAAAGGCGGCATCTAATGGTACAAGCATCTTTTCATAGTAACCTTGTAACTATTAATACAAATCTGACCATATTTGACACTCACAAAAATCTGCCTTATCTTTTCTTGCAGGTGTGGGGATTATTTGCTCCTAAGTTTGTTTTTGATGTGTTGGGGCTTATCCTTACAGATCTCCTCATTTTTTTGGCATCCATATACTATTTTAGTGGAGAAGAGGATTGTATGCAATGTGATCGTGGTACTGAGATTGAGGAGCCATTTGGTTAGTTTTACTTAGCATAGAAAAATGAGTAGATGACAGCTGAAAAACTCTTTTGAGATAGGCTACATAAAAAAAATTTTCAGGATAAAGAGTGGAAAACATTAGGAATTTTACTTAATCTATTGCGGATTGTTCATTTATTCTTCCAAAAATCAAAGCAAATATGTCACCCAATTATATCCTTTCTGCTTTTCTCTTCCATTCTCTCTCTTCGATATTGTACAACTTCCACAACTCTACTTTCTTTATTTTTATTTTAGAACTGTTCTTTTTTTCCTTATCAACTATCCCTTTAATTTGTATCTCAACTGTCATGCTCTGAATTTCCTCCAACCCAGAGATGGCATTTTGCGTGTTCCAAGAACACTTTTTTTGCCATTGTCTGATTGCCTTTTTGGCATTGATGCATCTGTCCAAAGTGCATGATCCATAGAAATCTTCCAAGTATTTCATCACCTCGTCCTTAGTTTCCCCTGTTTTTCATAAAAAATTGAGATTGAATCCATCTAGACTTGGTGTCTTAGTTTTCTTTTTCTTATCATTTTTTATTTGTGTTTCTCTCTCTTCCCATTCTTGGGTGTAACTTTAACCTTCCATTTAAGAGAAATTTATTTCAGTTGCAATTGTTGGTACGAGCTTTATTAAAAATTGTGTTGTTGGATGAGTTTCCCAACTAATTTGTAATAAATTTCTTCCTAATATTCTGCTATAATGGTGTAAGATTGATGGTTGAAAGAATGGAAGGAAAATAAAACCAAAAGATTGTATTTTTGCAAGTGAAGGCATGAGGGGTCGATTCTCATGGAAGAAAGGTCAATCCCTAGATAGCTAGATACTTTAAATAGGTTGTGGAAATGAAGGGATCGACCCTTAAGCCTTAAAGGTTCGATCCCTACAAGACAAAACACTTAAGACCAAAAGGATCGACTCTTAAGCTTTATATGGTTGATCCTTGCTAGGTAGAACACAGAATTAGCTTTTAGAAATCAAAGGGATCAACCCCTAAGGTTAAAGGGCCTTTACAGCCATGTGAAGAAAAATTAGACTTAGGAATCAAATGCAGAATATAAGTTTTATAATCAAATGCTATTGTAGAATCTATACATGTTGAGTTTATTGAAAATTAATTTTTGTATAACTCTAATAATAAATTTGATTGTGAACAAAATGTCCTAATTCCAAGTTGTGACCAAAGTTATATAAGCTCTCATGGAACGTCCCATAGAAGAAAAACAAATGATGCCCTATTTAAGTCTAGAAGAAGTCAAAGAGCAAAAGAATGATACCCTATATTAAGTGGGATACGATTTTTGGAGGGAAGTCCTAGGGCAGAAAATCAATAACAACCCTAATGAGCTTTTGCCAAATATGAGTGCAAACAAGAGAGTTTCAACATTGTGGAAAAAAATAATCAGTCCCTTTTCCCCCTTTTACAGGTTTTTCTTGCAAGTTCATGAAAATTTGGGTTTCATCATTAGGAATGGTGAGAATTTGAGGTTTTGGCAGGATGAATGGATCAAAGGCATGACTCTAGCATATGCCTTTTGGAGGGTGTTTGTGTTGGTGGAGAACAAAAGAGGAAAAATCGTTGAGTTCGGAAGTTAGGAGGAGGGAAAGTAGATATGGAAGGTTGAGCAATGGGAGAAGTTTGAATATATCCTTAAAGAATTTCATCTTAGCAAGGAAATGAAAGATGAGCAGGTGTGGAAAAGTGAAGCAAGTGGAAACTACACAATTAAATCCTTTTGTAGATGTGTCTTTAACACAAGTGTGAACGTTGATATGGTTTGGAAACAAGTGTGGGCAAATCTTGCTTCTTACAGAGTTGAAGTCTTTGTGTGGCAATTGTTACAAGGTAAAATAGGAGTTAAGGAAGAACTTGTTAAAAAGGTTGTGAACTTGAATAGTGGAGTGCAATGTGTGCAGTGTAATGCTGATAGAGAGACTTGTGATCACCTTTTTGTAACTTGTAGTGAATCATGGAAAATATGGGCAAAATGATGCAGGTTAGGAGCACAATGTGGATCTCCCTGAGGAAGGTTAAAGAGTTGTTTGTTGTGTGGAACAAATGGCAATTGGGTGGGTTAGATGCTAGGATTTGGAAAATGGGGTTTTTTGGAGTGGTGTGGTGTGGTCCATATGGAAAAGTAGAAATTAAATTGTGTTTCAAGGCAAGGAGTGGAATAAGGACCAGGTTTTGGAGCTAGCTAGGATTAGGGTGGCTTATTGGGCAAATGTAAAATGGCCAAAAGATTATCCGTTTGTGCTTGATGTGTATAGACAGCCACCAGCCGAAGGCCAGGATGCTAAGAAGAGCAAAGAAAGGAACGGAATTCTATGGGAAAAACCATTGCAAGGAGAATTAAAATTTAACGTCGATGGAGCAGTTAAAAGATGTCCTGGGCCTATTGGGATAAGAGGGATTTTAAAGGATCACCGGGGGGAAGTCAAAATCATTTTCTCCAAAGCTATAGGCGAGGCAGACTCCAATTTCGCAAGGATGATGGCAGTGAGGGAAGCGTTCATGATTTTTTCAGCATCAATATGGAAGGATAATCATAAACTTCTCATTGAGAATGAATTGAGTAATGCAGTTAAGTGGATGATCCATCTGGATATGGGCCCATGGAGAGTGAGAAAAGTGGTTATGCAATTGGAGAGATTGAAGGAGGAATTGAAGGGTTAGGAGATTCGACATGTCAAAAGAGAAGCTAACCAGAGAGCCAATACTTTAGCAAAAAAAGGTGCTCAACAACAGTCAGACATTTTGAGAACTTTCATGTGAGTGTTGATCCCTTGTTTTTCGACATTTAGGTTGTTTTGTGGTCTTGCTGACGTTGTTGGATTGAAAACTAGAAGGAGAAAGTTGAATCATTGTGAAGGTTGTTGGAAGGATGTTGAGGTGCAGGAAGGTTTTCTGAAGGATGGGCAAATCAAAACATGGAGTTTCTTTATGCCAATGTTTATGGAGTGTTTGACAATTTGTCTTTTGGCTTAGTTTCGAATTTTTGCTCAACCCTAGGAAGGTGTTCAGGAGACTTAGATAGTGGGGTGGTCTTTTTTAAGTCTATAGGGACTTTGAGTTTTCTACTGTAAGATTGTTTAATGTAGGATGATAGGTTTTGGGTATTTCTGGTGACTTGTTTCTTGGTTCTTGAAAGGGCTGAAGCTTGAGAAGGAAGGTCATGCCACGGGATACTGGGAGGTATACCAGCTGGTAGTGGGCATAACTCTCAATGTCTGTGGATATTTTTTGTTTTGTAATCATGACCTGCATCTGATATGAGGAAATAGTCATTCCCTTAGTTTGAATGAAATCTCTTTTAATGACTTTCAAAAAAAAAAAAAGAATTCAAAGAGCCAAAAAAAAAAGAGCACGTAGATCTAGATTTCATTTACTCATCCGCATTAGCATTACTTGTCGAAAGAAGTAGAAACAAACTGTATAAATGGATACTAATTTTATTAAATATTGAAAATGATCTAAAAATATTAAAAAAAACTATGATTTCAAGGGATTTAGCTTTTTAAAAAGAAGCAATAAATGATGAAATGGATTCAATCTTGTCAAACTCATAAGTTGTAATTAGATATTTAGAAGGAAATATAACACAGATGACTCAATGTAAATCTTTAAGTATAGATGAGTTGCTAAAGGTTGCATGCAAAAGGAAAACATTGATTATTTCATACTTATACTTCAATAGCAAAAATAACATTCATAAAATCACTTTTGGCTTTAGCATCTATTTATAAATTACATATATATCATATAGATGTTAAACTTGCCTCGAAGATCTAAGTGAAGAAATATTATGGAGCAAAGGTTTTATACTTCCTATAAATGAGTGGAAAGTTTGTAAACAAAGCAAACATCTTTATAGACTAAAACAAGCTCCAAAGTAATGGCATGAAAAGTTTGATAGTACTATATTTTTAAATAGATTTGTACAAAATAATGCAAATAAGTGCAATTATTTTAAATTTACAAAAGACTATGGTGTAATCATATCTATATGTAGATAATATGTTGATCTTTGTACAAATATATTTGAAATTGTTGAAACCAAGAAATATTTGACATGTTTGCGTAATTATATCTTATTATTTATTAAAACTTTTAGGTAAATAGACATGTTTGGGTGTTTAATTTTGGATGTTTTGGGTGTCAACTTAATTCGGATCATGTAACATTTTGAGTTCATCCAGGTTTTGATTACTACCAATGTCGATTTATCTTGAATTTGAATGACTTTAAGTCACATTTTGAACTGCTTTAAGTCAAATTAAATTAGATATCAAATAACTTTAGTTTCAAGTTAGTTCGAGATTCAATCATCTTAATTCGAGTTAGGATAAACTATTTTACTGTACTATCTGATATATAAGCATGTTTGAGTCATTAATTTTAGATTAAAATTGTTTGGAATTAAATTTTTTCAATTTATAACTCAATTTGAATCATGTTAAGATTTGAGTCGATTCAGGTTTGGACCGTCAATTTAAATTTTAAAATTCATATTAAATTATTTTATTTTTAAGTTAATTTAATTGGATCAATTAAGATTTGAATTTAATTCAATTGAATTATAGATGGATTTAATACACGGGTACAGATTTTCTTTGAGATTTACGAAGTCTACAGTTACGGCGGTCATCCAGAGAAGCGCTAGAATGCTCTTGTTCTGGTGCCCTTTTAATGCGCTTCCAAAGGAGAGCAATAGAAAGCTAACATAAAAATGTAGGATAAGAGAAAAATCAAAAGGCTAAACTTGAAAAGGAAAAACAAAGCATCAACAATAATTTAACACAACATCACCAACGATAACAGAAACAACGAGTCCTACACGAACAAAAGCAGCAGCGATAGCTACCGCCTTTATTCAACAGCTAAAACCAAAAGGGTTTCAAGCAAACATTTATTAGGCTAGAAAACGTGGACACTCCCATCTGGGGATGGGGAATGAACTGCTGACCCTTTAGCAGCCCGTCCCATAGCAGATTCCCATAGGATAAAGGCATCCGCAATTGCCACAGCAATCCATGGGATTAAACATGCAGAAGCCACCGGCAGAGAGGCAGTTTTCACCGCTTTTGCTAGCCATGAAAATATTGGAGAAAGGGTGCCTGATATTAGCAGCGACATTGGTGTCCAGAGAGAAAGGCACCACCCCATTACGAGCGGCGAATACCGTTGGAGTCATTGCGGCTAGAAGTAGCACCGCCGTTGCAGCGAACAGAAAAGCAAGCTTCTTGCACTCCATTTCTCGTAGTAA